GATTGATTGTCACACGTTCCAAGCAGTAACACATTTTTTTATGAATACACAAAAAATGCAGTTTTTATTTTAATATCAATTCTATATTTCAAACAATAATAGTAATTATACTATTGCTACAAAAAAAATGATAATGTGTCAAGGTCATTTAAAATTGGTGAGGCCGTCAATTTTCTAAGTTTTATCTTCCCACCCTCATTTCCGTGCACTGTGCGGAGAAGAGCGACGCTTTTTTGTTTCATGCAAAACGCGTTGAATAGCCTAATTTTATTAATTTTTGAGCTGCATGAGCGAAACTGTATAATTACCGTAAATCAATTTATTGGCTCTTATAATCAAAAAGGTTGATTCACACATTCATTTATTGACAATAAATTATCAGAACGCATTGTGGCATTTTAACTCAGCCAGAATGCGTATTGATCGATTATCAAAAGAATCATAATACGAATTTCGCTTTGTAGTCTTTTTGAATATGCCATTATTGAAGTTATTCAACAAAGTTTTTATTTGTATCAAATCTTATTATTTCCACATTATCTTTCGATACAAATTTTATTTTGTTCCAGGAAAAAATTATTTTTGATTGCTTTATAAATATAGCTTTTCGTAAATATAGCTAAATTTTAATTGCATTTTAATAAAATAGAATTGAATTTGCATCGAACTGTACATATTACTGTTTTAAGTAATTTTTCGTTTGAATAATTAATTTAAAAGTTTAATTTCAAATAAAGCTGCGGAAATATAATAATTAGCTCCGTATTTAGGATTGATTGTCTCACGTTCCAAGCAGTAACACATTTTTTTATGAATACACAAAAAATGCAGTTTTTATTTTAATATAAATTCTATATTTCAAAAAATAATAGTAATTATACTATTGCTACAAAAAAAATGATAATGTGTCAAGATCATTTAAAATCGGTGAGGCCGTCAATTTTTTAAGTTTTACCTTCCCACCCTCATTATCATCAATTAAATTAGTGATTTTGTTGATTGGAATCAACATTTATATGAAATAAAGAAATTTATTTGCATTTAATACGAACAAATTCGTATACCAAAAAAAATATTGCATTACAATATCTGTGTGTGTTTTCACTAAACTCTCAACTCTATTAGAACTGTTAAATGTAGTAATTTGTTTACAATAATAATAAATTATTTTGTATTATTGTAGAAATGTTTAGTCGTAAGTATTGAACAAAATATTTCAGTTAGGTACACCCAGTTAGGAAACAAATTTCATAATTTTTAATAAAATTCTCCTCTCAGTGCATAATATAAATAAAATAAAAATAAAAACAGTAATTTGAGAAATATTTCTCTCGAATAGAATATATCTCTCTTTCTTATATTTCTATCAAACTTTTTATCAAACACAATATATTATCAATATACAAAGTATCTGATAATTGTTCTGACATAATTCGTGGACATATAGAGCGGACTAAACTGAGACTGGAAAGTCCTCTATCATTTTGTAATTTTCGCAACAGTTAACAAGATATTAATTGTTAAAAATTACTGAAAATTAGTTTTCAATAATTTTTTACTCAAATACTATCAACTTTATAGAAAAATTACAAGAGAAAATTATTAATTTTCTTTTCATAAAGTTTAAGAATTTTTTAGAATTTTTTCAGATTTTTTTCAAAAAATATCGTATTTTCTCATATTATTAAAAATAAGAAAATGCATACTAGAAAGTTGAAAAATTTGCAGTTCTATGAAAAGAAAATTAACAATTTTCGTCTCTTGCAGCTTTTCTGTAAAGTTGATGGATTTGAGTAAAAAATTATTGAAGACCAATTTTCAACAATTTTTTAGCAATTAATATCTTGTTAACTATTGCGAAAATTGCAAAATGATAGAGGACTTTTCATCTCAGTTTAGTCCGCTCTACATGTCCACGAACTCTGTCAGAACAATTATCAGACACGCTATATATTAAAAAATATGCTATCGTGCCTTATAATAAGATATTAGATTGTGAGAATAGTAGGAAATTACTTTTATCATGATTCTAAAGTTTGATTTCGTCGAAGGATCGATATTACGAATTAAAACTAATGCTATCTGGGAGAAAGATCTTGTGGTTGAAAGCCCGAGGCAATGGCGCGCGAGGAGAGCGTATCCTGTAGAGTCAGTGTATCAGTGCGCCGAAGTTGGGAGAGGGTGGCTTGTTTACTAGCGACAGTTGATTTGACAAAGCCACGAGTCCATTTATACAAGTGAATATTACAGGGGCGCAGTCGAAGGGTGGCTTGTTATCCGCTCATTGAAGTTAACCACGGGGCTAAGTGCGCGAGAAGGGTACGGTGACGACGGAGGCAGCGAGGGCTAGAGGATTGGTGGTTGATGCATTACGAGGGTGAGTAGAAACGTGATGGAGAAGAGGGAACAGAGAAGAGAGACGGTTTACGCGAAAGCCTACGAGCCAATAAGAGGCCAGATCGTCACCACCGAGTAACCACGGGGCTTTCCGCTGAATTATTCGACCGAGATTGAAAAGTTAGCGCCAGCTGGTTTGCGATATCCATGAATCGCTATCTTTGTAACTCTTCTGTTAGTTTTTCTAGTTAAAATATATATCTATGAAAAATCATAGAGTTGCATTTATATAAAATAATAAATCTCCATAAATAGCAAAGAAACCACTTCGCATTTAGAAGTAAATTGTTAGTCACATTAATTTTTACTATCGTAATAGTAATCATAATAGTCTAATAACATAATAACTAATCACATTATATTTAATAACTAATTATTAATTATATTAATAACTAATCACATAATAATATTATATTTAATTTCTTTACTTTAAAATAATACAAAAATTTATGGTAATTATTCGGATTAATGGACACTATGCCAATGATATTTAGTTTCTTTACTTTAAAATAATACAAAAATTTACGGTAATTATTCGGATTAATGGACACTATGCCAATGATCTTGATATTAATATATATTGTTAAGGTCATGACTCAATACAACACAGAATTTGCAACAATATCGTTATAATAACGCTGCAATATTGCTGCAGTGTTGCTGCAACTTTTGTGCTGTAGGGGATCTTCAATAAGTGATCTTCAAAAAGTTTTAGACAGCGATTGTCACTGTGTTCGTTCAAAAGTCATTAACAGATAAAATTTAACAAATGTCTTATTTCTGCAATATCATACTGACGGGTATGCAATTTTCCACACGAAGGAAGGTTCATCCTACTTCCTCCCCTTTCTAGGGACATACTTTTCACGCGAAACGAGTTCCACTCCAGTTTCCTCCCTGCCACAGGGCTTACGACTTTCCAAGCGAAGTGACTTAAATCCCACCTCTCCCACTGCCTCGGGGCGTATGACTTTCCATGCAAAGCGACTTCCACCCCCAATCCTGCCATGAGGCGTAGACTTTCCACGCGAAGCAAGTTCCACCCCATCTTCCTTCTGCCATAGAGCATATGACTTTCCGCAAATGTGCGGTAAAAATATATTGCAATCATTGTACATCAGTTTTGTTTCGGATGAGATGAGTTAATTCCTCGACCACGAACTTTTTAATGTTTAATTCACACAATTTAACATTTGATATGTATTTAAGATATTCATTCAACATCCAGTTTTCTAACTGGCATGAATTTTTTTATTCCTATAGGGAAAGTGATTGACAATCTCATAAAGAGCAACATCGATTAAAAGTGAAAGTTTATGAAGTTTATGAATTATGAAGTTTATGAATTTATACAAGATAAATAATCATAAATCATTTGTAGCTACTGTTGATGATGACTAAAAAATTAGCTGGAATATGTATGATTACTAATTTATGTAATTAGTTTTTATTTATTATAACTTTATTGCGCACATTTTTAGCGCTTATTCTCATTTGCCTCCTTTTTTAAGTCTTTTTTTTTAATCCATATAAAAAAGGTGTAACGATTATTAAAAATAGAGAAATTCTGTTTCTAGTATACCTTTTACATGAATTATTAACAAAATTATCCATATATGGAATAAAGGAGAAATATATACAATAATTATAAACTAGTAATTATAAACTTAGAATATATATTTCATGAATTAATAATTGCGTCCACGAACAGTATATAATAACCAATTTTAAAATTGCTGTTCAAAAAGTATACATGTACAATATTAAAATGTCTTTTGTTTCAATAAATTTTTAGAATTAGAGCTACGCGTTTCATAATATTTTATTCTATTCATTAATTAATATTTTTTAAATATTCTGTGAATGTATAATAATATAAGCGTAACGTATACTTTAATTGTTATCTATGAATTTATCATATAGGATAGTCCATTTTAATTCATCCAGAATTAATTCATCTAGAATATTCTTAAGTTCATTCTTAAGTCATCCTTAAGTTAATCTTTTTTATCCCCCTTGTAACTTTTGTCTGAAACATTTTTGTCTTAGATTGTTCTATCTTTCAATGAACTCTCTCTTCAGCTGTTTTACTCTCTTATGTTCTTATTTTTTTAACTCTTTTGTTTATTCAGTAGGTTGAGTAGGTAAATTATCACATAGTTGAAACAACTGATTAAATTTAAAAATTTTGAGATATTCTACTAGATGCAATAAAAACGGACCACCCTGTATATAGATATACACGTGCCTGCGCGCGCGCACACACATATATCTATCTCAAATGTCTTATTTCTAAGAATTAGAGATTATAACTTTTCGGGACTTTGTCACACTTCTCATATCGAGATTATGATTTTTTATACGATTCTTAAATTTCGACTGTGACTTTTCAGGACATTGTCGTAGTTTTTAATTTTCGAAACATTCTTTTCAGGATTTTGCATGTCCTTCGTTTTGTAATTACTTTGGGTTATAAGACTGATCCTATTATAGTCATTTTACTTGAAATAATAATCATTCAATCAAAACAATTAATATTAGCGATAATGATAGTTTAAAAAGTATTCATATCATATATATATAGATGATATATATATAGATGTTTATATTGTTTCTTGTACGTCATCTGCAGCTGTATTAATAATACAATCTTCATTTTCTGATAATGTATGGTGTCCCAAATAATGTCGATATTTCCGAATTAATTGCGGAATAATAATATTGTTATAACATGCCATACCGATTAAAAGAATTATAAAACCAATGAGCTATAACGAAAAATTTTGCAGTAATGTTTTTGTTATATGTATATAAATACTACTAATGATTTTTACTTCTCTAAAGCATACCTGCATATAATGAAAAACTTGCCACTGAAACGCTAAAGAAAAGATCCATATCACAATTGTACGAACACTGTCTAAAATCATTCTCGTTGTAGCACTCATTTCCTTAGTAACGCTAATACCAGCAAAATTAAAAAAAGCAATACTAAATGATATACCTGCAATAAGTTTGAAATAAGTTTGTTATAAAGACCAGAGATTAATAGTTGCGAAAGAAATTTTAAAAAAATAAGACTGACCGATAACAGCTATCAATAATTTACTATTACTTCCTATTTCGATAAGAGCTTCTACAGTAGCTTCAAGTGTGCCGCGTGAATTATCCGCAAAAGGAGGTGGCGCGCTAATATAATTGAAAGGGATTATTATTAGAGAAATACCAATAAATCCAAAGATACCTGTAAAAATAGATGCGAAAAATAAAAATTATTCAACATTTTTAAGATATTGTTTAAATATATCAATATTAACAAAGTTTATATAAAAAAGTAAAAATTATACCTTCCCATCCAATTGCTTGTAATGCAGGAATGTCTTGCTGTCCCACGTATTTTTCTTCAACAACCATTTGAACAGCTGTTATTATCTAAAATATTTGAAATTAATTTGAAAAGAATTTTATGAAAGTAAACATATTTATCTTTGCATAATTAAATATTTCGTTTAAACAAGTATGTAGTAAAAAGAAATCCATTATTTTTCTATTCAATTTCATGCAAAAATAATGGATTTCTTTTTACTACACCTAATTATTAAATCATAAATAAAATTACTAAAATAATAAGAATAGGGCTACAAATAAAGAACAAGATTTTGATGTTGAATTATTAAATAACAAAAATTTATTCTAACATATGTAATTCCAGTGATTTGATCCCAATCAGTATAGAATAATTATACACTATAATTAGATTATTAAAACAATAAAATTCAGAAAAAAACATTTTAAATTATTCGCTTTTTATTTTTAATGATTAACGGATATTTTAAATAGAGTCAATCCGAAGCTGCCATGAATTAATGTTTAGGTCGGAGTTTTAGTACAAAAGATAACGTTAAGAAATAAAAGAACTATTAAATTCGACGATTCTGATCTGTGCATTAATTCAACTTTCAATTGACTATTTACGACATCTGTTAACTACTGAGAATATAAGAGTAATTTAAGATGTTTTTTTGTCTGAATTTTATTATTTTAACAATCTAATCATAGTAATGGCAAATATTATACACTGGTTGAATGTTTAATTATAAACTACCTGTAGTTCCTTTCCAGTTCTTTAATTATAAATTTGTTAATTTAAAATTAGAATAAACTTTTGTTTGTTAATAATTTAGCATCAAGATGTTGCTTGATTCATAGCACTATTTTTATGATTTCAATTTTTGAGATTATTTGAATCTTTTACTTTATTAAATTTATAATTACTAAGTTTTATATATATTTTATATAATATAAAAAAATCAATAACAAAGATGTACCTGGGCAAATATAATAAGCAAATCCCCAGTGATTACAGAATTTGCACTGACATCATTGTTTTCCATTACTAATATATCGCTAATACCAACAAATACTAAACCTATTACTACAAAACCAATGCCTATCCATTCTCTTACTCCCAATTTTCTATTAAGAAATCCAATAGAAAGCATTCCTGTGAAAACAATTACTGATCCACGCAACATTTGGAAGCTACTTGCATAAGTCATATTCAAACCAACATACATTATGGATGTTGCAAACATATCACATAATGCAGGTACTATTAAAATAAAAGGATTAAAAATCCTTGAACCTTTGGTGAGGACGTTATTATCTACAGAGCCATCCTGAGAATAAATTAACATAATAATAAATTTAATTATTTTTATAAAGAACAAAAATCATAAATACTTACACCTCGCCGATTATAATAGTAGTAAAAGACTTTAAATGCTAAAAAACAAAGAGCTTCTCCAAGAAACATAAATGATGATTGCATAAAAGGATGATTGAAATATCTAAGTTGTTCATCTTCACCAAGTACAACTTGTTGATCTGCATATCTAAATAAATTTTAATTAATTGTAATATCTATAAAATTAATTATGCATTTTCTTCTATAATATAATTTTATTCTTTATATTGTGTATGTACATAGTTTAAAAATATAATACTTACTTAACTGATAAAGTATTAAATGAACCTGTAATTATTTGAAGTATTGCTAAAGTACATTGAAAATTTGACCACGCCATTGTTTAAGAAACAATGGCAGACAGTGATGATACACCACTTATTATATAGCTATTTTCTGTTTATATGCATGTGATAATGACATATACATTAAGAGTATATAGTTTACTTTGGCACTCTTAGTAAATAAAACAAAAAGGTAGTTTCTTTGTAACTTAACTTTCAGTACTTTTCTTTTTTTTCTACATTTAATTATAGATATGTTTTTATAATAAATTTATTGTATGTACACTCTTCATACTTAATATGAAATAAATATACATTTGAAGTTTGGCAACAACGAGAAAGTTTTAACAAAGAGATAAAATGGAAATATAAGAGCGTACATGCCGATCTTTTTCATGCAATTGCATGCAACGTTTCTAATCCTCTGCTACACTAGCGCACTATCGTTCATTTTCGAGATACAGAAACTACGTATATATTACATCCATTTTTGTGACACACCGATAAAATCGTAGTATCGAAAGTGACACTGCGTGTCAGTGCTACATCCACATAAATTGTGCAGGAGATAAAGAAGATAAACGCACCAGAATGTAATTTTATCATAATAAGGAGATGCTGGAGTGACGATTGAATTTGATCGAGATCGATAAAATAGATTTTATTAAAGACCTTTTTTAACAACAAATTATCAGAAATTTGATTTTGGAATATTTTAATTGGTCCGCCATTTTTTCTCAAATCGAAGAAGGGGCAGCTTCAGCACCAACGAGATACTATTAGGGGGCTTCGCACAATAAATTAAAGGAACAGGGAACAGAGAACAAAGAACTGTTTCTTTTATTGCGCAAAGCCTCTTAAAGAGAAATTATCAACTCTGAACAAATTTTCAATCGAACCCGGGAATAATTGAAGAACGATAACATTACCGACAATTAATAAAAATTTACGATTATATTAATATAAATATTTTGATAATTTATTATTAAATTCATGATTTTTTTTATTATATAAATGCTGTATAAATAAGTACGCCTACTTTTAAGATTATATCTTAAACATTGAAAAATTATAATTTTTTCTCTTGCAGTTCATCTCTAATCAAACTCATTAATAACATTAAAATCATAGTTTTAAATAAAAAAAGAGTATTATTAAATTTTAAATATACGTACATGTCTATGGAACTAATAAATTATGAAATTAGAATCGTATTATCAGTTTCTTATTCCTTAAACACTTAAATTTTAACAATTATGCGAACTTCCGTAAGAGTCAATCTTTAATAATATCTCGTTGGTGATGACTCAGAAAGTAAGTTCCGTTTTTAAATTTTGCCGCCGCAGTGGTGTATTCACAATGGTGCGCATGCGTGCCGAATAACAAAGGAATGACGTGATTTTCAATTATTAATTCAGTACGCATTGTAGTGTATATTTATAAGTTCTGTTCGCGTTATTTGCACTTTTTGTATTCAGCATCTATGCATTCTCTTTTTTCAACATCCGAATATATATTTATTTTGTTTTAAGTGTAAAAATTTTTGGAAATTCAAGCAACGCAAACAGATCTAATGTTTAAATAAATCACGACGCGTTCATTGCTTATGAAATGCGGTCTGTGATCTGTTTCTTAAATGCAAGGAAACATTAATATGGTATATTCACCATCAAAGTTGTGAAATACATGAAAAATATGCAATGAGTGATTCAATCCATATCCACATAGCAATGTATTTCCTTAGGATATCTTAGGGCCACTTTCACATTCCGATTAACTTAATGGGCCTAATAACTTTGCAGGATTCCAACTGAAGTTGTCAGAGCAAAAAATGTGAGCTGAAGAGTTAAACATATTTCACTAATTATAATTAACTGTAATTTAAAAAACTGTAAAACATACTATATTGAACATAAAAACAGATTATTAACAAACAGCTACCAGAAAGAAACTTTGCTACATAAGTTAGTATTACAAATCTATATTTATAACTTCTCTTTGCATTTTTTCTCCGACAGCTTCAGTTGGAATCCTGGAAAGTTATTAGGCCTCTTAAGTTAATCGGAGCTTGGTGAAAGTGGCTCTTAATTTGATCAATAAAAATTCCATTTTAATTAAACTAATATGAATAACTCTATTCAAAAAAAGTACTTTCAGAGGCTCCATAAACACACTCTGATCAAGCTTATGTGTAATCTACAATAGCAGTATCAATAATGGATGAGGCTGCAAGAATAAATAATTGATCACAGTCGATTATTCTTCTTACATTTAACTGTGATTGGTCAATTTGTTACTCTTACAGCCTCATCTACTACTATTACCATTGTAGACTATGAGTAATCCAGTAAGCAAGAAACATTTTGAAATATTTTAACAATATTGTAACATTGCTACAATGCCATTGAAATGTTTCAAAATGTTTCTTGCTTATTGGGAAGTGACGAACTCCATTCGCATATGCCTCTTTATAGGAATCGCATTATTTTCTCTTTACGGAAAACAAGTCCATCTCGCGACGATATTGCATACTATGCCGCTTTCCTGACCTGATAGAGTATACATCTATATGTACACCATAAGCGTACATTAGAGTAGGTATAAAGAGACCCTTTAATCAGAGACTGGGAGATAAGGATTTTGACAAATTTCTTCGAGCGTGAAAGGAGTGAAATGGTCTACCCTCCTTTCTCACTCGAAGAAATTTAACGAAATCCTGATGGCCAATCTCTGATTAAAGGATTTCTAGATATAAAGAGAGTGAAAACACTAATTAGCCGGAAGTCGCCATTTGATGTCCTATTATCTATATGACGCAATTCCTCTTCTTTCTTTAACGTCTTCTAACTAACAGTAAGGAAATCTAATGGCATAACCAATCAGCGTTAGGCACATGCATTGGCGCCACTGTCTTTATATCCACTCTAGTGTATGTATACTACACTGCCAAGCAAGTGGTGTAAGTACGCTATATATAATATTAGGTGTGGGAAAAAGAAATCCATTATTTTTCCATTCAATTTCATATAAAAATAATGGATTTCTTTTTACTACACCTAATATATATCTCGCCGCCGCGAGATGGATTCGTTTTCCGTAAGGAGAAAATGATGCGGATCTCTAAAGAGGCATATGCGAACGGAGTTCATCACTGTCACTTACTTATTTAATCATAACTAGCAGTAAATGATAGTAACATAATTAATTATGATTAATTTCATGTGATGCATACTCTTTTCCTGCATTTTGTATGATATCGAGACCCGGATATACTCTTGTAAAAAAGTACTATTGCGCATTGCGCAGTTTTTCTACAAGAATTTAATTTGAAAGACATTTTAAGATGTTTCAGTAAACGAGAATGGATTAAAATGAATTGAAATGGATTCAGATTTCAGAAATATTGATTCACGAATGTTAAAATGAATTCTTTTCAATCCTGAATGCATTTTTCTTCATTTATAGGAACTGCATGGAGCATATCTCTATGCCTTTCAATCTAAATATAATATTAGCTTTTTTTTGTGCACACAAACACAATTGTGAATACTGTTCAATTCAAAATTTTGAATAGGAAATGCAATTTTTCAATCCAATTGCATCCAATTGAATCTAATTGAATTCAATTAAATCTAATAAAAAGCTATTTTATTATATATTCGCTATTTAAAATATGCATTCGAATAGAAAATTTCAATCCATTTTAATCCATTCTCGTTTGCTGGAGTTCACTGGATAAAGACAGGATGAAATTTGGTCATCTAGAAACAACCTAATGATATTTAAATGGTGATGTTCTGTGGATATAGAATAAGCAGACATAAAAACATCTTCAATTTATCCTTAAGGTTCTTCAGATACGTACTCTGGATATTTGAAAATTCTTCGACATTCATCATACTAATAACATACATTTTCGGAAGATCATTTCGAGTCTTATCTCAAAAGTGTCTCCACAGCTACTTTGATTTAATACATATGAACACTTTCCACTGCTTCACATATCTAGTGTGTCATATAATAATAGTAAGTTATATTTCTAAATTAATTAGTACAGATAATAATACAAAGTGTTAATTAGCATACACTACTTATATTTCTGTACTAAACCATATTTGTAGGATCAAGTTTTGCTGTGTGGATAATATAGAAATAGATGTGACTTTTCAATGAAAAACGCAAAAATATGCACGATGAAACGGACCACGTCTCTAATGATTACATATTTCGATTTACGTCGAAGTAATAACATCGATATTATGAAACTAGCCAATTATAAATATTCCTCTAAAGGATGAAAAAATTGATTGGTCAGTTTTATAACGTGGATGTTATTAAATCTGATTAATGCCATTTCTACCAATGTAGATTAACTTTAATCTCGATTCAACTTACTCTTCATCTTATTCTTAAAATTAGAAAAAGATGAAAAGTTAGTTGAACCGAAATTAAAATTAAACTGCATTAATAGAAATGGGCATAAAGATGTCGTGTAAATTATTAATTAATGACGAATTGATGCATGTAGTTGAAGAGAAAATTAAAGAGAACAGACAATTTATTATTAAGTCTTTTTCCCTGTATTTTCTAGAAATTTCATAGGCGGCAACTTTCTATGACGGGATACTATGAAGGGATACAACGCCTGATATCCCGCTATAATAAGTCATCAATAACAATGATATCTATGTAGCGGAATAGTAAGGTGTGTACTTTAAAAAGCAATAAAAAATTTTCTGTAAGTATAGACTTGTTTTCTTTTAATAGGCCATCGGAACTTATTTTCTGGTTAACCCTCGTATAAATAGTACATTGTAAAAGAAATTTGTTGCAAAATACATCCAGATCGCAGAACATACTAATAACATACATTTTCGAAGATCATTTCGAGTCTTATCTCAAAAGTGTCTCCACAGCTACTTTGATTTAATATATATGAATATTTTCCACTGCTTCACATATCTAGGTGTGTCATATAATAATAGTAAGTTATATTTCTAAATTAATTAGTACAGATAATAATACAAAGTGTTAATTAGCATACACTACTTATATTTCTGTACTAAACCATATTACCTTGAAAGTCTAAGTATACGATTGATAACATTTCTTATAAAACTCTTGTTAACGAATTATATCCTGATTTTCTAAAAAATC